TGGGGCAACATGAGAGAAAGCAGAAAGGCATTTGTTTAAAAATTTTAACTAGGTAAGATTCCATGGGAAGCAAGACTAAAAGGAAAAACAATTGAAGACAGCTGGCAGTTTTTCAAAGGGATATTATTAAGTGCCCAAAAGCAAACTATTCCACTGCATAGGAAAGATAGGAAGTAGGCAAGAGACCACCTCCACTTAACCAGGAAATCTTAAATGATCTAGAAATCAAAAAGGAATTATATCAAATGTGGAATCTAGATCAAAGTAAAAAGGATGAATATAAGCCAACACCACAAGTATGAAGGGTCAAAATTAGAAAGGTGAAGACACAAAACAAGCACAGTCTAGCTAAAGACAAAGGGTAACAAGAAAACATTCTACAAATATATTAGAAGTAAGACAAAGACCAAGGACACGGTAGGCCCACTGCTCAATAAGACAAAGACCAAGGACACGGTAGGCCCACTGCTCAATAAAGAAAGAGAAACAATAACAGAAAAAGTGGAAATGGCAGAGGTGTTTAACGACTTGTGTTTCAGTTTTTACCAAGAAGGTTGGTGATGACTGGATGCTAGGGATGTGAATGACTAGTCGACTATCTGATAGTCGACATTAGTCAACTAGTTACATCTCCCCCACCTGCTGCTTCTATCAGAAAGAGGCAGCAAGTTGGGGGGGGGGGGGGGAGAAGAGGAGGGGGTGCTTCAAAGCGCAGTGCCATGTGGAACTCACAGCCAGACTCTGTGCTCCTCACAGCGTTTCAAAGCGGCGGCGCTGTATGGAACCTGGGATCAGCTGGGGACTCCCCCACCGACCCAGGGCTCCATGCAGCACTGCTGCTTTGAAATGCCGTGGAGAGCACAGGGCCAGTGGGGGACTGCTTGAGTGCCCTTCTGGCCCAGTGCTCCCTGCAGCACTTGCACCTTTGAAGTGTAGCAATAGCCCTGGGACTGTTGCTACACTTCAAAGGCGGAGGTACCCTTATCGACTAATTGAACAGTCAATACACATTGCATGGACTATTCAATTAGCCAATTAATCTAAATTTAACATCCCTATGGATGCCTAACAGTCAATGCCAGTGGAAATGGGGTAGTTTTAGAAGATAAAATAGCAAAAGTACAAGTTAAAAATTGCTTAGAAAAGTTAGATGCCTTCAAGTCCCCGGAGCCTGATGAAATACATCCTAGAATACTTAAAGACTGATAGAGGAAGTATCTGAGCAATTAGCTACAATCTTTGAAAAGTCATGAAAGTTGGGACAGATTCCAAAAGACTGGAAAAGGGCAAATATAGTGCCCATATATAAAAAGAGAAATGAGAACAACCCAGGGAACTACAGACCAGTCAGCTTAATTCCTGTGCCAGGAAAGATAATGGAGCAAATAATTACGGAATTCATCTGCAAAACATCTGAAAGATAACAATGTGATGGATAATAGCCAGCATGGATTTGTCATGAACAAATCATGTCAACCAATCTGATAGCTTTCTTTGATAGGATAACAAGTCTTGTAGATAAGGGGGAAGCAGTAGACGTGGTACACCTAGACTTTAGTAAAGCATTTCATACGGTCTCGCATGACCTTATCAATAAACTAGGAAATATAATCAAGATAGGGCTACTATAAGGTGGGTGCGTAACTGGCTGGATTGCTGTTCTGTCAGTAGCTATTATTGATTAGCAGTCATGCTGGAAGGGCATAACAAGTGAAATGCTACAAGAGTCAGTTTTGGAACTGGTTTTGTTCAATATCTTTATCAATGATTTAGATAATGGCATAGAGAGTATGCTTATCATCTGCACACTTTATACTAGGGATGTTAAATTTCAATTAATCAGCAAATCGAATAGTGGATGGAATTTCCATTGACTACCTGATTAGTCGATTAGGGGGACCTCACTATCCTGCTGGGGTTCTCCCTCTGAAATGTACAGGAGCTGCAGGCGGCTCTTGTAAGTTTCAACAGGAGAGGAGCAGCAGTCGGACCAGCATGAGCAAGATGGTTTCAATCCTGGCTCATGCCATTTCCCAGCAGCTCTCTGCCTCCCCTGTCCCCCGCAGAGATAGCGCTGGGAGAAACTGGCTTTTAAGCTGCTCCCCCGCAGCACCAGCTCATGCCACCCACCTTGCTGCCTGTCTGACACAGGAAGAAAGGGAGCGATGGGGGGAGGGAAGCGACTAGTCAAGTTCCTACTTGACTACTCGATAAGTGTTTATATCCCTCCTTTACACCAAGCTGGGAGGGGTTGCAAGTGCTTTGGAGGGTAGGGTCATAATTCAAAATCTGGACAAACTGAAGAAATGGTGTGAGGTAAATAGGATAAAGTTTAATAAGGACAAAGTACTCCAATTAGGGAGGAACAATCAGATTCATGCATACAGAATGGGAAATGACTGTCTAGGAAGGAGTACTGCAGAAAGCAATCTAGGGATCATAATGGACCACAAGAAAACATGAGTCAACAGTGTGACACTGTTTCAGAAAACAGCAAATATGATTCTAGGATACAAAACAGAAATATTGTAAGAAAGACATGAGAAGTGATTCTTCAGTTCTACTATGCGCTGACTAGGCCTTAGTTGGAATACTATGTCCAGTTCTGGGCACCACATTTCAAGAAACATGGAGAAACTGGAGAGAGTCCAGAGAAGAGCAAAATAACTTATTAAAGGTCTAGAAAACATGACCTATGAGTGAAGACTCAAAGAACTGAGTCTGTTTAGTTTGGAAAAGAGAAGACTGAGAGGGGACATGGTAGCAGCTTTCAAGTACCTAAAAGGGTGCTACAAGGAGGAGGGAGAAAAATTATTTTCCTTAACTTCTGATGATAGGACAAGCAGCAACGGGCTTAAATTGCAGCAAGAGAGTTTAGGTTGGACTTTAGGAAAAACTTCCTGTCAGGACGGTTAAGTACTGGAATACTTTGCCTAGGGAGGTTGTGGAATCTCCATCATTGGAGATATTTAAGAGCAGGTTAAAAAGACATCCATCAGGGATGATATAAATGGTACTTGGCCCTGTCGTGAGGTTAGGGGACTAGACTTGATGACCTCTCGAGGTCCCTTCCAGTTCTAATATTCTAGTGGCAATGCAAGTTGATGTCATGGGCCTCTCAGAGGTGAGAACTAAAATTTCATTTGCAAATGAGCAATGATAGGTAAGGATGAGGTGGGCCAAGAAGGGCCTTGAAAGCGAAGACAAGTGGCTTATGTGTTTGATGCAATAGAGAACAGGGAGCAAAGGCTAAGAAAATGATCTTTGAAGCAGCATTCTGAATGAATATAAGAGGGACAAAGTTCCATTTGTCAAGGACAGAGAAAAGGACATTGCAGAAACTGAGACATGAGATGAAGTCTGGATAAACAGAAAAGGAGGAGTAACAGTTAATTTGAACTAAGGACTTAGTTCGAATTACCGTTTCACTGCCGCGTGTAGCCGGGGGCAGTTACTTCGGGCTAGTGGAATTTCAAAATGGTGACCAGACAGGAACATGCAAATAAAGCCCGGGATATTTAAATCCCGGGCTTCATTTGCAATTTCGAATGCCTACATTAGCCTCCCTAGTTCGAACTAGGGGGCTAGTGTAGACATACCCTAAGGGATCTTTAATGGAACTGAAAAAAGGGAACTCCAGACAGCGAACAGTGGTATTAGTAAGATGCTTATTACGCAAAATTCTACATGAAGAGCTCTGCTTAGAATGTGCCCATGACCTGAACTGCATCTCTCCCTCAACAGCTTTATTCCACTGTAGAATATAGTTCCACTATAAAAGAACTGTAAACCAAGAGGGGAAGGCAGGCCAAGATTATGGTACTCACTGCTAGATAACAACCAATATTAACCTTGTGGAACTGAGATGGAATACAAAATCTGTCTGTCTGTCTAGGCTTCCTTTAATGGCACTCTGACACTAACACACATGATCTTCTATATTCAGTTTTTAAAAACAAAGCCTGACTCTTCCTCACAGCAAAAGAGTTAGCATTCTTATTCTTCAGAAGTGCTCAGGAACTATGATGATAAGCACTAGTATTAGACCTCAAATAAATGAAGCAACTGCCGCCTGTACACAATTTAGCACTCCCATTTTCAGCATAGAGGCCAACAATAAAAGGGTATGAAAACTGAATTAGCCACTCTTCCCTAAAAGGTAGTTCTCCCAGCTTAGTGTTGAAATGCATCAGCAGGTAGCAGTGTAACACTGCTCTCTTTCCTGAACCTATTCTGAAAAGATTCAAAAGCTCTCTAGAATGCAAACTTTCACCAACACTAAATTCCCTAATAAATTAATCTTTTTTTTAAAAAAAAAGGACAATACAACGTCCCTAATAAATTAATCTTTTTTTTAAAAAGGACAATACAACATTCATTCAATTCTGTACTCAATTCTGTTCCTAATTATTTCCTGCTGCTATCAGTGTAAGATTTTAAAACAATCAAGAGGTGATAGCAGCACAGTCTTGTGAGGACAAAGGGACCTGTTGCTAAGGGATTAATCTTGACTCATATAAAATGTTACTGAGTAATGAATGTCTGGATAAGTTAAAGTAATGACTCCCACATTTGTTGGGTATTTATAGTAGAAACAACATAAAATGCAGCCAAAGGTTACATGCATACATAAATAGTTTTCAAATTTTTAAAAAAATCTAACTTTTGAATCTCAGAATTTCCTCTACATCTCTGGAAGTCTCCAAGGGGACTAAAATATTTAACTGCCAATTAATTACAAAAATAATTCCATGTTCTGTGTTTCAAAAGCTTTCATTACAATATTCTCAGTATCTTCAGCATTCCTAGTTTTCAATGTCTACTTTTAAGGCCTCATAATTTATTACTCTACTTATGCATTCAACAATCACAAGTGACACATTCTCCCCTAACAGCATATATTTTAACTTGTGTTTCACAATTCCAATTAAACAAAATACCATCTTGGGGAAGAGTGTCCATTTTTACATCAGCTACTTCCAAACATCATGGTTCCCTACCTTAGAACATTTCTCCAATACTTTCTCCTTGAACTGCAGAAATTTTTCCTGAATCACAGGCTGGGTGAGAGCAAAGGACAGGAAGTGTGTGAATGGCTGCTTCTTGCGGAAACTCTCAACAAGAACATCAATCCGTGTTCGGGCCGAAACGACACCACTACGCTGCTGTCCAGTAATCACTAAAAGCAAAAAAGCAAAAAAACTAATTGTAGTTAGATGAAATCTATACAAATTGGTGACATTTTGCTATGATGACCATGAAAGCCAAGAACTAACTAAAAAAAGATATGGATTTTTACACTGTACTTAAGCATTTAACAATGTCCATATTGCAAGATATTGACAAGTTAAGAATATGAAATACATTCTAGAAGACTCAAAAGACAACCAAATAGAATTCCAATAATAATTTCTCTATTGCCATTATTATTATTAGGCATTTATACTACATAACACCTACAGAGTTCAACTGCTTTGGGCCCATTGTATTAGGCACCGTAGAAAACAGTCATTGAAGATTCTATTGGATAATTATTTAGATACAGTATTATTAGCCTAGTTTATTTTAAGGATGTTAAATTGCGGTTAACTGACTAGTTAGATAGGCACTTCCACACTTCCCCTACTGGCGCTCTTGTACATTTCAAAGGAGGAATGCGGAACCCCGTGTACAGCCCAGGGCCAGTGGGAAGTCCCGCTGACTCCAGGCTGCACTCAGGTGCCTGCTTTGAAATATACCAGAGTGCCCAGTGGGGGCTCTTATGCATTTCAAAGCCAGGGAGCCCGGGGTCAGCGGCAGACTCAAGGGGACTGCAGAGGGACTCAGGGGGACTGGATGCCGCGCGAATCCTGGGGTAAACTGGGGATTCCCCAGTTGACCCTGGGTTCTGGGGAAATGCTGTGTGGAGCCCAGGGTCAGCTGCCCCTTTGAAATGCCAAAGCTGTCTAAACCATCCCTGATAGATGTCTATCTAACCTGCTCTTAAATATCTCCAGAGATAAACATTCCACAACCTCCCTAAGTAACTTATTCCAGTGTTTCACCACCCTGACAGTTAGACAGTTTTTCCTAATGTCCAACCTAAACCTCTGTTCCTGCAGTTTAAGCCCATTGCTTCTTGTTCTATCCTCAGAGGCTAAGGAGAATAATTTTTCTCCCTTCTTGTGACACCCTTTTAAATACAGGCAGTCCCCGGGTTACGTACAAGATAGGGACTGTAGGTTTGTTCTTAAGTTGAATCTGTATGTAAGTCGGAACTGGCATCAGCCGCTGCTGAAACTGATCAGTTTCAACAGCAG